CCCCTGAATAGACCAAGTTAAGATCTTTCTCCGAAACATTTAATTTGGAATAAAATGGCTCAAAGTTGCGTTTAGAAAGCTTGATTTTGATTGGCTAAAAAATCCAGCTTAGAACCAAGTTAACATTCTCCTCACTAAATTAATTTGGTGGGATGTTATCCTAGTCGGATTTTTCTAATTGTGTGCCCAGATCACTGGTATCCTAGTCTTGGTAGAAAAAGGACCGTCAATCATTTTTTTAACATCCAACTTTTTCAGGAGAAAAAGGACCGTCAATAATTTTTTTCGATCATTCAATTTTTCAGAAAAAAACTGTTGGCTCAAATGTTTCTAATATTTATGGGAATAATCATTGGAGGTGTGAAATGGTTTCGTGGCGAAAAGATAAGGCCGCTTACAATAATCAATTTATCATGGTCATGCTCCCATTAATTTCCCTTTAAATAGGTATTTTGGACCAAGCGAATAGTCAATTAGGGATGGCCGTGATATTCTACTATGAGTTTAACAACCCTTCATGCATGAAATTCATTCTCAAGCTTCGTTCCAATGACTTTCAAAAAATGCGGGATACTTTCTGGCCGTGATCGATCATGGTACCAATATGACGACCTATTCTGCATCTAGCTAGAATTTTTTTGACTTAGACAGGCCCGAGAACTAAATCCAAAAAGCCGAGCTGCAATGCTAGATGACAAAGGGTTGATTTCATGTCGAGTTTTATTATAATCAGCTCTGTGAGCTCATACTGTTTTGTTTAAACCGGGCTTTTCCCTTTATTTTGTAAAACCTGTACCAATTTGTGTCGCTTATTCAGCATTCAGTGCATATTTGGATTGGTGTATCGTGGATAAATAGAAAAATGATGAAGGTTGAAGGTATATGCGTACCGAATAGCTCCTTTACATTTCCCTTGATTTGCATTGTAATTAGGAAATACTGTTCATATAATAGCGAGTCGAGTCGTAAAATCACGAGAAGCTACATTAGGCATTTGAACATCGGATGGTATTGTAATTTAGTCTCGTTATTTAGTTCTTAAGTTCTTCAGTTCTTTCCGAGACGGAGTGTTCGTTCGGTTTTTTGTCTCGGCTTCAATCTTTGACATTTATGTGTTGTTTAGAGGACGCGGAATCTATATTCAGAATATGGTTCGTTCCGAAGTGCACTGAAATGTTTGAACAAAATCATTTACCATGGAATGACGTACGCTTATATTTAACTGTTCAGTGGCATTTAAATCTCTTCATTTAAGTAAAATGGCAGAGGTCACTTTATTGCTTTTATTTAGCCCACGGTATTGCTCTCTTAATGATCAATTCGACGAGGCGATTGTTTTGACTAAAATGCGCAGTCTAGATTTTGCAGGGGATGATATTTTCAGAGAGTGGAATTTTCAGGAGGTCAAAAATTGGGTTTTCCTTTGATATTTTTGTTCAGATTTTTTCTAACAAGAATGCAAATTTGATGTGCTTTTTCCGCGTTTTAAAAACTCAAAACAGGGTTATATTTGTATTCAAAAACAGTTTGAAAAATTATCTCATGGGGAAAATTTCTAGCCATTCTTCAGATTCACCTACTCAAATTAACTGAAATGAAAACCGGGGTATCGAATAAAAATTTTATTAAAATTTTCTGAGCGCAGAGTTGATCTAATTCGAATGATTATTGAATAAAAGCTTGATAAAAAGAATGGGAATACAAAATAATTGGAAGTTGAAAGTTTTTGTTTTCAAATTGATGAACTTAATATAAACTAGGGGTGGGTCTTTTTTTTGCGAAAAATGAAGTGCGGTTTTTCAAAAAATCTCAAGAAATTTTGTTTAGTTATTTTGTGTAGGTCGAGCAAATTGATTTTCTGAGCTCTCATAAAATATCAACAAGACTGCTGGCATATCAGGGCGAAGCCCTGAATGTTCCGACTGCCCCTTAACTGGCCTCGAATAGTTTTTGTTCAACTATAATAAACGTACTGCCAATATCAAATGCAAAAGTATTATTCGAGCTGTGATGCCATCCACTTTTTACTCTAGTGCAAGCATACTCGCTTGGCAATCCGGTTCGATACCCATACGCACGATGTCCAATTTTGTAAAATCGGTCAAAACAAAAAACACCCCAGTTATTTTTCTTTTTCAAATATCAAAAAGTTTTATTTTCTCTCAAGAATATACCCAACTTTCACTTTTCAGAATTTATTGCTGAAATTGATGTTATTGAGCGTTTTGGATTTTTTTTTTGCCGAAAAGCTTTGATAAGTTGCAGGGTCGTTAAATAAAAAAGTAGGTCTCATATTGACAAATTTTGGAAGCGAGTGACGTCGAAATTTTTATGAGGAAGATTCTAACGATCAAGACTATAGCAGCAAACACTGATTTATTATTATCACACTGCTCGTAACGCATATATGCACAGTCAAGCTTAAATTGTTGTTCCAACTTTCGATGAAAACGGAATATTTATTCTTGGTGTAGTTTTTTTTATTCAGTCAATTTTCGCCGATCGAAATAATAGTTTTCAACAAAATTTTTTTATAGCCCATTGAAGATATCGACTTCCTGAGTTGAAATTTAGAAAGATATTTCACCTCAAATTCTTTTTTTTGTAAAAATCTGAGGGTTTGAAAATTGCCAAATTGGCCATGTTCTGGACTAAATTATGCGCGTTTCGAAGAATTTTTTCATATTGCTGAGAGCGTAACGCGAATTATCAAAATGGCGCACAACAAAATCGTTCCAAATTTAATTGAGGCTAGCTAGTCGGTCGTATTAATTTCGTACGACTCAGAGTGTCCAAAATTTATTGTTTTTCAATATTTTCTTTTCCCAAAAACTAATCGATATGAATTAAGGGACAGTCGGAACATTCAAGGCTTTGCCCTGATAAACGAGCCGTCTTGTTAATGATAATTCTAGTCGTTTGAGTTGCGCGTTTTTTTTATACACCTGCGAGAACAAGTGTCTTGTTATCGGGGGAACTAGACGTTTTTCACATAAAAATCTTTTCTTTTTAAATCGGTAACAATTCAACTTGTTTTAAATTTGAACCTTTCAGGCGTCTTCCTAATTGGTCTTGAGGTAATTTGGTTGCTTTTGCACCTTAATGTCTTGTATATTTCCAACGCATGGAGTTGTTTGATTACAAGAGATATTACTAAAATTGACAGTCTTCCTGATAATCCGTCAATTTACCAATTCGAATTGTGAATAAACTGTTTTGTTATTTTTTCTTTAATTGTAATGGTTTTGGCTTTTGTTTAATAGACTTAGTCAATTTATTTCATGCAGTTTGACGACAAAATTACTTTTTAAAGGACTTAATCGGACGGTTGGGCGGTTGTGCTGTAAAGTTTTTCCGAGTTAAACTTAATTGCTCAATTTTTTTTTGTGATATTTGTGGACATTTTGTGATATTGTGGACATTTTTCCGTTTCGGCTCAGTGAGTGCCTACATAAGTTTTGTCGACTTAGTGGTTGCTCAGTAATTGATTTCGAAAGCTTATTGAATGCTGGCTGTTTTGTCTTGACTGTTTTTCTGAAATTGAGTTTTAAAAGGAAGTTCTTTTTCAACAATGGTTTCCACCTCATTTTCTATTCGCTATCTTGTAATGCTAGACTGTGATTATTGTGTAAAAAAAGGATAAACAAAACTGATTTTTCCATAAACTAACATGCCGGTCGTCGCAACTGCCAGACCCTTAATCCTGCTCTTAAAGAACAAAAATGAAATCAGAAAACCGAAAACAAGTTAATGTTTACCATGAGTTTAACATGAAATAGGGTTTCATCATTAGTTAATTTCACCACTAGATATGTCAGATCAGTCCAGTTTTTTCGACTAAAAAATATTCTGCGGCTTAAGATTTTTCAAGAAATGTATTTTTCTAAGCTTTTTTTGTTTGGATCAAAACTTGCTAGATAAAGAAATTGTCTGATCCAAGCCGAAATGAGTTTTTTAATTTAAATTTAAAAATTGTGACAGACATCGACAGAGTAGAATCAAATCGGTGATGCTTGAATTGCTATTTAAATATGTTCGGACATCTCCTAAAAACAACTGGCGTGATCGGCGCTAAGCACCGTCGCTCGCGAAGAGCAGCCAATGAGAGAACGCTCCAAAATGTCGTATGATCCCAGATATCACTTAATATAATTTGCGACTTGCTCTCAGTTCTTGCAGTGCCGAAACTAACATAGAGGCAATGAACTTATAAAAAGACAGTAACAGATGAATTGCAAGAAAGCGACGACCCTATGTTTTTATTTTTTTCCAACCCACTATGGTTTCATGATTTTTTCATAGCCAATTTTGACTACTACAATTTTAAAAAAATAAGTATTGGACCAAAAAAGGAATATTGAAAGTTGAAAACAAATTTCGTTTTTTTTTCGGTTTTTATCTTTCCCAAAGCAGTGTGGTCGGAATATTCTGTGCTACTTCGATAGCAACCGGCTATGCAAGTAGTAGATCCTTGTTAGTAGATGACGTTGGTCTATTTTGAATTTTTTTACGTGAAGTTAAGTTATAAACATGAATTTTCTTCTGGCTCTGCTGACGCTGAAAGCCGGAAACATTAGATCGATATTATCTTACTTATTGTTGTCATGCTATTACGACGCTTTTTTCCATGGCTAATTTTTTTTCTTTTCACCAATTTGCGGTTTTTGTATCTGTGTTTTTCTTTTCACCAATTTGCAGTTTTTGTATCGGTGTATATAAAATGTAACGTGTGTGCGCAATGACTCTAGCCATGCTATATTTGGTTTGATAAGTACTACATTTCATTTTTTTCCATGTAGACGTCATCTTTTCTATTATTTTCGGGTGTTAAGTCGTAGTCGTTTCGAACTAATATCTCAAGTCGTGCTAGCAAAACGAACAAATCTCATGCTTGGCCACGCCGTCGGCTAACATTTTGATCTCTATTCTGAAAATTTTGCTCAAATTGGACTGCTTGTACAAAGTAATACCACTGCGCCTGATAATTTATACCATCAACTTCTCTTCAGTAAAAGCACGCGAGATTATATTATAGCTCTACTCGTGGACCACATTTAACATGTACCATTTATTTCCTGTAGATTGTAAGTGAATTCTTTAGCTGTCGTATTATACCATCGCCTTTAACTTAACCACTTTAGGCGAGTTTCACCATTGAAATAAAACATTCATACGGTGCAGTTGCTGTTATTCTGACTTTCTCAAGCAAACCATTGCGTAATAATTACAGCGGCCCTTCTGAACTTAATTTGTTGTTTGCCCAAAATTCAACTGACCGCTGCTCCTTAAATTGCTCAACCTTCAAAGTAAAATCATAGTTAAAATCGAAGTTTCATCAAACAGTCGATCGCAATCTCACAAAGTCGCTGTCAAAATCTGAAATTTCTTCATGTTGTTCAACTGACCTCTGATTTCTTGTAACTATTAATTCACAGTTTTACGTCTTTTCCAAGCAAAGATCGCGTTCTTTTCACGTCTTGAGCTTTGTGATTCTCAAATATTGAAGCAAAAATGAGCTCAAGTTAATTAATTTCCCGCCGCCGCTTAGATTTATCCGGCTGAATTATTTTCACAAGAACCGCCAATTAACTTTCAAGTTCAACTCACCTTCCTGGAATCGATTCGAGACCAAGAATCCGCATAAACGCTATCATAGCTATCCGGGATTTCCTGTAGAACTGGGTCTGAATCGATATTTTTCTTGCTTTGAAAATATTTGCCAATACTCATATTTTGTCCAAGATTTTGTGAAAGCTCGAATTGAAGTCATTATTTGTATGTTCAATTTTATCGACTTTCAATTAACTAGAATTGTTACAACAAAGTTTATCATAACTAATGATTCCACAGTTTGGCAATTTACTTAAAACCAAATCACCCATCAAACTTCTTCTGAGTTACTGTTATTACTACTATCACTGTTTTAATGTCGGAGAACATTGCCATGTCATGCGTTGAAATGTCCCCCAACCAACACCGTCTCAATTCGTTACCCAAAACTCCTAATTTCAATGTCGATTCATCCAATATTATAGCATCGCAATCGAACAACATTGATGTCACCTCCCGAAAAGCCCCTCAAAGCAGTCCGAAGTCACTCTTCTTCCCCCTCACCGTGCCCAAGCCTCCGAAAAGAAGGCCAAGCGAAGGGGGTTTCAATTTGAGTAAAGGATCAGTTACATCACCCTTACGTTTCAAGAAACAACCAGCAACGAATGGAAGTCACGTGATAATGGGATCTACTGGAAATAGTAGCCCAGTAAGCTTGAAGGCGCCCTCGGTGGCCAACCACATTCCCTCGGACCCGAATCAGATCTGTCGGGTTTGCGACGGCCGTGCCTCTGGTCTGCATTTTGGCGAGTACACGTGTGAGTCATGCAAACTGTTCTTCCTTCGGCAGACGAAGCAGGACAATCAGAGGTCGGTTTGTCCTCTGTCGTGGAATTGCGATATCAGTCATCACGTTAGTACAGCATTACTTTTTGTTATACTCCATTCGGCAAAATTGAGCTCAGTCTTAATTTTAATTCATAACACGTCTGTGAAGTAGAAAACAAGTACATAATCAGCTCTACTGCATTTAACAGTATCATTTTTGAAACCCCCTGTTTCTCTTTTTTTAAATCATTTTAAACGAAATTTGGCTCAGAAAAAAAGTTGCTATCAATTTTGAGCTTCTACTTGAAAATTATTGACTCTTTGAAACTTGTTCTATGCTAACTCGATAATTTTTCCTCAAATTGAATAATTGAATTTCCTTTGAGGCAAATCGTGATGTGAAATTTCTGTTGAGAAATCTAATTTTAGTAATTTCAACTTTTTTTTTTTTTAAATTTCGTGGCTTTCGTCTTTTTTTTGTCAACTTAGTTTGTCATCCCATGTTTGCGATGTATCACAAGTGATTCGAAGCTCCGCCTGGCCTCTGCATGAATTATTTCAACTGTCTACTAGTTATTTTATTGTTCAGACTTTCGAAGAAATATATATGCTCGGAATGGTTTTTTATTCAGACCAATTTAAAAAGCTCTTTGCTTCCTCGGGGAATCGATCTCTTAATCTGCATGGGCCCAACTGAGTATGACTAATTTGTTCGCTTTATACTTTACAAGTAGTGAGTTATCCCGCACTAAGAAATCGTTCCAAATTGAATTGAGGCAGCTTATTGCTCCCGACTGTCGAAGAAAGTGACGGAATATTTGTGCTCGGCGTGGTTTTTTCGAGACAATTTTTGACTTTTTAACTAGCAATTTTTGACGGAATTTTTAATTTTAATTCGTAAGTTTATGGTGTCTTGAGCTCAATTTTAAAAAGATGCTTCACCTTTGATTATTTTCCGTAAAAATTGGGGGTTTAAAGATAACCACTTCGGCCAAATTGAGACAAAAAACGCGCAATAGTTTTCGTGCTAATAACTCGTAGGCGGAGATTTAATCCCTAAGAAATTGTTCCAAACTGGATTGAGGCATGCTCCTTGGTCTGTTCAATATTTGCTATATGCAAATATGTCACTTTGTACTTTACGTAGCGTTTGGTGGGATGATTTTCAAAAAAGATCCAAAAATTTTTTAAAATATTTTTTAGTTTTTTTTTAAATTTCAATAGCTATTTTTATTTTACTTTTTTCCAAAGAATTTAAAACGCAATCGGAACATTAAGGACTTCGCACTGATACGAGCACTTTTGTTAATTTTCTGGGCTGGGCGACATTGAAAACGCATTATCAATAATTTTGCTAATTCTTTTGTTGAAATTAATTGGTTGCAGAAACTGTAAAAGCTAAACAACCCACGCTTTTGAAGTAAAGCTGATCACATTCAGCTACTAATTTACGTTTGATCATATTTTAAACTGTAAGCTTGAAAGAAAATTATACCTAAAATTAGCCTAGACCCAGTTTTGATCTTAAGAGAGAAGGTATGTTGGCTCTTTTTCCTTTTCCCCTACCTGCAAAATTTTCCAAGCAATTTTTTTTTCACATTGTTCGATTGTTATGAACTTACATACGGACTAATTGGGCCATGACAGACATATTTGGTCTGCATAATTAACCTTGTAAAAGCGCTCGCTACACTATAAAACTGATGCTCGTGTGAGGTTGGGGAAAAGGAAAAAGAGCCGGTGTGTTTATGGCGTATATTTCACCTTTGTATAGTTCTTTGACCTTAAAAAGCGAGTTTGGCTCTGTTCCACTCCCCTCATTGGTGAAATTTTCCCTCATCCACTCCCCTCATTTACTTTTATTGTTGTTTTACGTGTTATTATGGCGTGTTATTATTTACATGCTGTTTTATTAAACGCTTAATGATAAGTTGTAAGGTTTGAAGAACAATTCTGTTCCGAAGTGTTGGTGTGTTCATCTATAGCTTTTAAAGCGTTTAACAAATTTATATATCACAGAGCAGGCAAATGGAGTTTGCAAATTGTCAAAAAAGTTCAACTTAAACCATTTTTGTCTCATCGAAAGTTGGCTGTTACGTTTTCAATGTCGACCAATATATAAGCAAGTGAAATATATTTTTGCTGGTCTGTCTAACTAGCTCTAAGTTGAACCAATGTTTTACGTTTGTAATTAATTTAGGTGAAATCAAAATGCAGAGCGTGCAGGTTCAAAAAATGCTGTGAAGTGGGAATGTCAAAAGACAGAGTAGTGTACGGACGAAATGCAAGAGCCAAACCCTCAACGACCGCAATTAATAACACGCTGCACACTCTTGCATCCCGAAAAATACCCACGGAGCTGTCTGCTGTCGGCGCAATAAGCGACCCCTGTAGGAGGGTTGTTACTTCTCTGAGTCACCAATTGACGTCAGGCATGAACACCACAGCGGTGCTGGAGGGATCTCGTCCTCATGACAGCATGGACGATTTCATTAGTAAATATACAATAACTAAAAACAACGTTTCTACTTTTTATGGTGATGTCCTTTCACGGCTTTTCTCATCAGGTATTAGTGTGATAATACTATAATTGAGTCATAATGAGATGGTAAAGGTAGCCACTGGGCAAGTAGAACAGTGTAATGAGTGGAATGAAACTGCTGGGTTCGATTGTTTCATTTTTGACTCGTTTGTTTGTTCTAAACATCCAATTAGGGCCAATGAGGGCCTACTCGCACAACGGTCACCCTTTTGATCCGACTACTTCTCGAAAAGACTGGAAGGAACAGTGGCTTAGGGTGCGTTTTTTGTCCGAATTTATACAACTCAACGCAGGAGATCAATTGTGAAATTCTTTCGAAGCCCTATTAATCGTTATTAAGTAAAAGGACAAAGTGATTTTGATTATATATTTTTAAGCTTGCGATTAGCCAGCGTTATCAAATCGGAATATAGACTTTTTTCGAGTTAAACAAAATCAGTTGAATCAGTTGGCATGTCTGTCCTGATGGAATTCCCGGAAACTGATTTTTTGGACGTTTCATTTGATTTTTTTTTGTTGCTTTCAAAACAACTCTTATTTTTTTCTTTTTTTGTTGATTGTTTTCGTTTTTTTTTTTCATTTTTGTTTTCTTTGGCTCCAATGGTTTCGGCTGATGATATATGTTAATATATGATACTCACTCACTATCATTGTCATGGTAGGGGATCGATTACATGATCTGACGATCTCAAAGTGAAGGCCTTACCACTATGCTACGTGCCTCCTTTTATACTTTACTAACTGTCTGTTGGCCATTTTATATGTTGAACTCTGGCCCTTTTCCACTTACTAACCCCTATATTTCGAAAATTCTTGGCTAAATGCGAGATGTTACGAAGCAAAGTAGGAAGAACAAATCTGTTCACAATAGTTAATTGTTTACCTTTGCTTTGCACAATGACAGATTTAAAATATTTTTTCAAAATAGAGTTTCAAATGTGGGTGAAAAGTGGAAAAGAGCCGAACATATTGTCCTTTTTATAGCAGCAACAAGCTCTTTTCCAGTTTCGATTTCCCTTCGTATTTTATTAACAAACTTGCTTAAGTCTTTTTATTCGGTAATTTTTATGTATGAAAAGTTGTAAACATTTGTTCACATGTTCACGCTTACACGTTTTTATGCAAATTTTATATAAGCTTTCTCAAATCAAGTTTCAGGAAAAATCAAAAGCGTGGGGACTGAAAAAGAGCCCATAAACAGTTGAATTTTTGCTGCAGGAAAATTTCATTGCAAGCAGGTTAGGTTAAATGGCTGCAGGTTTGAAAAATGAAAAATTCAAAATATATTAATGATTTTTGATCTGATTTTTTGCAAGCAAAAATCTAGCCGGAACATTATGTGTGATACTTGGACCAGCCATTCTCGTTTTGTTAATGAATGAATAAAAAATAAGAGTTAGGCTAATTTTACTTACTCCAATTTCAACTCGACAAAATTCAATTTATTTCCTTTCATTAAAAATTAGTACATGGGATCATCTTTGTCGTTGCGACTTCCTGTATACTCAATTACCTGTCCCCGGGAAAAAATTCTACTTTTCTATATTTTTTTCAAGCAAAACGGTAGTCATTCTATTTTACGTTCATTTAGACTTTGGTCGTTTTGTCTTTCTTAAATTTTTTTATTAGCCGTGTTATTTTTGGTAATATGAATTATAAATTGGCTTTTCCTGTAGCATACAATTTGATAATATTTTTTAGGATGCAATAACGGTTTATTGAGAAAAGAAGTTAAGGTGGAAGTAAGAAAATATGGGATGCTCGGGCACGTTTAAGAGGCCAACACTGGTGCACTTTTTCCCAATTTTGTTCTTGTTACAGTTGGTGATCCAGTTTTGGTCTTTAATTTGTATTAATTCTCCCAGTATGAGCTTCTGAGATCAAATTTCAAGGCAAGTTACCGTGAATGCTAAATGCCACCCACTCCACCTACGCAAAATAGTTTCCTTCCTATCCATATAACTTTGCTGTGATTGGCTGGCTATTTTGGTTAAAAAGCAACACCCATTATTTTCCTCCTCTTTGACATTAAACCGGCTGCAGGAAGAATTTTAAGAATTTCACTTGAACAATTTCTCAATACAATCATGCTACCAGGTGAGATTTTGATAGTTTTTGAGCTTGAAGGATAACGTTTGCAAAAAGCGACGTTCTTCATTGGAAGGGCTCCGGTAAAACCTGCTTTTAAGAGGTCCATCTCGCAAAACGTGTTTGATATTGAGTTTGAACGTATATTTTGTTTGATGCCTTGCGCGGGAAAGTTTTGCCTCTCATGTCAGGACAAAAAACCTCTCATGTTCCAACAAAAAAACTGATATTGTAACCAGAAGTTTAGCAATCTTTGTATGGAGACCATGCATTTTGGCTTGTGTTGTTAGTTCACAATCACAAGCCAAATTAAATTAAAACTTGATAAAATCAAAAAAAAATAAGAAATTATTTAGCTACAATAAAATAACAAGTAAAAAATTTCGTTAATAGCCTGTTCCAGTTTGGCAGTTGATTCAAAAAGTTTTGCTGGTGAATTCATCGGTGAGTTGAAGTTTTTTTGAATTTATGGGGTAGGGCGACACTTAGTAACAGGCGAAAATTCGTAACAGGTGACAATTCGTAACAAGAGACTGGCAAGTAGAAAACGCTTGCTCGGCTGCGCTTACGTGCGGCACGAAACGAATACTGCGCTTGAGTCATTGTTCCTTGCTTAATCTGCTGATACGAATTGTCGCCTCACGGGTTATGAGATCATTTAACTTGATTTTAAAGTACGTGAAAATTTTTTGACTTTTAGAGCTCTGGTGAGGAGAGCCGTCTGAAGGTTTAATTTACTATTTAAAAGTTTTAATATACAAGATTTCATCGAAACAGACTTTACCAAAGACGAAAAATGTTTAAGTATTGTGCGAACTTTGAAGTCGCACAAGCAGAATGAAACGGAGCAGAAAATGTCTGGCAAGCTATCACTGAGCGAGTTTACTTTATTTACGTCCCAATATTCGTAAAATATCTACGCGGTGTTGCCCAAATACCTTATATTGATAGATGAGGATGCCCTTGAATGAGTTTTTAAGAGTCGATGAACATAGGGAAGACTCTTATATAGGTCGCGATGATTTTTTTTTTGTTTTTTTTCGTACATATTGGTGCATTTATGAATTCACATAGGTATATATGCTATTTTTGAGTTCAATTGAAATTCATCTTCTGAAAATGACGTCAATGGCACTCTCCACATACGAACGTGAAAATGGTGCAAAAAAAACGTGAGCGATTTCTAGTTTCAAAAGTGGAATTTAATTTTTAGATTTCCAGCGGAATAAAAACTTCAGCTATTGTTCCAGCTTTCTCTAATTGGGTTAATGTTATCAAAAAAGCACCGATCAAAAATTGTTCTAGAATTTCAGAGAGCTTAAAGGGCATCTATCTTTTTCTTTGAAATTTGAAAGTTGAGATTTTTTCATGAAAGTCAGTGTTTTTTTATGTTTACTTGCGTTCATTACTCTTTTTTAATTACTCTTTTGCGATTGGCTATGTTTTTTTAAATCGCTTAAAGTTTTTTTTCTGCCCGAACGATATTGGACTTCATCGGCTTAGTGTCCTCATTTTGAGATGTTTCCATGGAAACCTAATTTCTATGCGCCTGCAGAGACTAGTCAGCGTTTTGGCCTATTTCTTTATTCTGTATTTTCAAAGTTAAGTTCTGTTTAATTTGTCGAAGTGTACTGAAAAAATAGGTAAATATTAAATGCTGACAAGAGCAGTTTAAAAATGCTTCCTAAAATTGCCTGCTAAAACTCCTCTTAAATTTAACGAGACTATCCCCTGAAATGGTGCGTTGTCAGAAACTCAAAATGACGTAAATGAGACTTTGAAAATACTTATGACAAGATTTTCGTGCTTGTGGATCAATCAGGCTAACCGCGATAACATATTCTTTACTAATGTCTTTCTTCACTTTCTTATTTTTTTGCAGTTCGGGCTTTCTAAGTCTTTACGGATTGTCTTAAACTGCGCGAGTGACGAAGTAGTGTTCATTTAGCATCAAGTAAACATCATCATTCCAGATTATTTGCAATATTATATTATTTACGCACCCTATATATTTTTTTGCAAAATCAGTTTCTGTTCAATCATGTTTTGATAGTTCAATCAGCTTAAAATATCTGATTAATTCTAATCGTATTTTTGCTCAAGTAACTAAAAAAAATAACATTTAAACTGCATGTAACAAATCGTGCGTAAAATTTGAGTAGATACATGTAAACCAGCTGCAAATACAAGTCAATAAATGGTTGACAGAAGGTTTGTGTGGATTTTTGAAGTTATTTCGTTAGCCCTAAGCAGTTTCTCTCCGGAATCCAACTTCCTCGCTGACTTGTTGATTATCATGCGCCGCAGGATTTTTCTTTTGAGAAAATTGGTCCTTTAAAGCTGCTTCAGTCGATATGTCTGTGAGCTGAATTATGTGTTCTGATATGAATCAGACAGTTCATTTTGCGTTTTGAAACTGATCGCATATAGTACGACTTTGGTCGGTCTACGTGACGCCTATTAATGATCGACTTTTTGTTCTGAGCTTAATTTTTGGCTTTCAAATTATTCATTTTTATATTACTCTATCTAGTTAAATCAGTTTGAACTTAGGCGACTTCTGATTTCTTATTGAGATTTTTTATTTACGAGAACTTTAGTGAAAATTATTTATCTTCTCTGCATGCTTACATTTTTCTCAAGTACCTTTATTTTTCGATACTTTTATTTTTGATAGAACATCGATATAATGTTCTAACATATTATGTTTCATTTATGCAGCTAATTTGAGTTAACCTCGAAAATGAACGTCTGGTCAAATTTTTCTCACTATTTTGCACTTTCAAATAAAATTGATTTGAAAGTTTTTGGTTTTTTTAAATTGTGTTTTAAAGTGAAATTATTTCTTTCTTGAAATTAAAAAAAAACTCTTGAAACAGTGAATATTTGGTTTGGTGAATACGAATTAGACTGAAAGCGAATATAAATATATATAGGAATACTAATCAGACATAAACGGACATCTGAATTAGGAAGAACAGGTTATTTTTGAATTGTATTTCCTTAAAAGTAGAAATGTATCAACGATCAAGTTTCCATTTCCTCTCAGAACTTATAACGTAATCTAAAAAGAAGACGAAAACTTGTGATTACTAAATTGGTTACGCTACTCGTCTCAAAATCAGTAAGTTTGTTTTGTATTTTTTAAAATATTCGTGATGAGCAAAATGAGTTTTCACTTTAGGTCGTGTAGTTTATCCAGGAAAAATCAAACTTTTTTATCGTTCGTTTTTTTCTGTGATTGGTTTATTTTTTAATAACTTCCTAAATTCACTTTTCGAATTCAGAATTCTTTTCGAATTTTTGATTTTGTTTAAAAGTAATGAACGTAGTGAGGACTCTTATATAGGTCTTGCTGGTTTTTTTTCTTTTTTTTTCAGGAAAATTTGTTCATGCTCAATATTGATTTTTTGCGGTTTGACTTGTGATTTCTTTTTAAGTTCAGTTTTTTTCTATTGTTGAAAGGAGGGCAAACTCCACTTTTGAACAGCAAAATTGTAAAGGTCATGAAAAACGTGATTGACTTCTAATTTTAAAAATAGAAATTAATTATCAGGTTTCCCAGCGAAATAAACGTTTTACCTATGATCCAGTTTTCTCAATTTGTGTTAATTTTAACAAAAAAGTGTCCATCATAAATTGTTCTACGAGTTAAATGAATTTAAAGACTTATTTTTTCTTCGGAACTCAAAAATTGAAGATTTTGAAAAAACAAGTCGGTTTTTTTTCGGTTTCCTTGCGTTCATAACTTTTTTCCAACTGTCAGTTGGATATGTTGATAAATTTGATTACAATCTTGGCTTTTCATATCAAATTTTTTTAAATATGCTAAAAAGCCATATTTCAACATTCTAAGAATCTGGGTTAATACTGGCTTTAATTAACTTACGGAATGTTTGCGTTTCAGTTTTTTCAGTATTTTTCTAAAAAAAAAATCTAACGTAAATTCAGCTCAACAGATTTCTACGCATCAGAGTCGATACCAGGGCTTGGGATTAATTGATTCGCTGGGGAACAATCAATGTTTTACAGAGAATTTATCAGTTGTCAGAGCTTGTTACAGCCAATCAATTAATTGAGAACCTGCTAAATTAATTGCCCAAAAAATAGTTTCAAATACTTGAATTCAAAAGTATTTTTAGCTGCTTTTCTAAGCTGTGGAAACGCTAAATTTTCCGTTACTTAATTCTCTTGTTTTACGCCGCATTTGCCTTAATATCAGTACACACAAATGAGAATTAGCACAACAACCTTTTCCCTAGCAAAGTAACCCATTTCTACTTTTTTTCCAAGAAAAGGGATGATTTTTTTGTATTTTTTTTTGTTTTTAGCTAATTAGGCTTTTTTGTGGTTTTCATGAAAAGCAAGAAATGTGAAAAACATCTGACTCCAATATTGTCTGTATAAAACTGTACAAATTGTGTTTATAATTCGTAGATGTTGTGTACCAAATTTTGCACTAAAAATAGTTTTTGGCTATTATTGAGTTTAAGACGCAATCGCTTTTGAATGATTTGATAGTCAATAAAAAACCATTAATTAGTGCTTTAAACTATAAAATTTGCTTACTATTTTGCAGAACCATATTTAACTTGATATAATCTAACATAATCCTAGCTTTGCCAATGCAGGTACTGCTTTGATTTAAAAGTTGGCCAACTGGCTTGAAGTCAGGTCGGGTGAAATCAAGTGGGTAGTATTTGGTGCAAAGAACGAAAAAGTGCAAAAAAAGATATAAATTATCTCTTTTTTTTCTTCAAAGATGGCTATTGAGTTGAACCCAGGGCAGTGATAAAATTTTGTTTGTCGTCTTATCGCTATTTTTTCTAATTGTTCACTTTTTAGTTTTTGTTATCGTTGTCTTTTCTCCGTTTTTTCGTGCGTCATCGGTTAAATTGAACCAATTTATAAAATATACGATAGAGTGCAATAAGTTAACGCCATTTTCTTGCTTATTTGAATAAAACTAGGTTAAAGTGACACTTTCTGATTGCTGCAGTTGGAGTTTAACCTACAATAAACTTATCTCTATTTGGAGTGGCAGTTATTCTATTTTGAGTCGAGATTTATAAACAGAACCAGTTGATGCTCGTGAGTTTTGTTTTGCTGAATTATCATTTTTCTTTAGTTTTCAAGATAACCAAGTTCGCGGTGCAAGTATGATACTTGACCGCGAGGTACTGGTCATATTTTTGAAGGGAACCAACTATCATACTTAAACTACGCTCGCTAATGTTAATTCTATACTAAGTTTGGATCTACTTAACAATCTTCCCACTTTGCTATCTACTGAAAAATATCCACCCCTAACTGGAATCAAAGCTTTTGTGGGTATATTCTTGAAAATGGTTTTGCAAAATGCAGGGCATACTCGTTGGTTTTTTGAGATTGAGTGAAAACGACGAAAAAAATAGCTTAGTTATTAATTAAGAAGAAAAAATCTGCTTAACAATTACCCTTTCAAGACAGGGGACTAATTGTTAAGTAGATTAACGTTAGTCGAATTTTTGACCAATCGGAATGCAGCAAAATTCAAAATATAAAAGGAACGCTCTAGGGCTTATTTACTGTTGTTATTCATACGGTTGGCAATTCTTAACTAGACACCGTAGGGTGGGGTTGTTAAGTAGATCCCGAAGACGGTAGCTAATTGAGTAGTTTTAACAGAGATGCATTAAAATTCAAACGTTCTGCTGCAATTAATTTTTCAGCGACTGCGCAAAACTCACCCATGCGAGTGCAATCAACAACGAAATCCCTGAGTCTCAAAAGAGACCATCAACATATGGGTGACTCACTGGGACCACCGAAACAGAATTTGAATCAAGGAGCCTCAAACGACATCTCGCCCGCACCCCACATTGCTGCTCCTGTTGCCAACAATTTCATATTCGATAGTGACGAGACAGACGATCCAGGTTAGAAACTTGTTTTATATTGATAATGAATGCTAAGATGATGAATTTTTGATCAACAAATGCTTCAAACTTATTCCTACTAATTACTATATTTTCAATTTTGGCAACATTTTTGCGCAAACTAAGCAATAGTCAAACTGATCTTCATTGCGACCACTGAAAGTGGGAAGAACTTTGTATTGAATGTGTTTCAATATTTTTCTTATTTTTTCACGCAAAATCAGGTGCAACAATTAATCGTCAAGATGGGGTCGAGTAAAAAATCGTTTTATAGCTGTTGCAGTCGTGATTCCAACCCTAATAATTAATTGAGAGTCATGAATATAGTGAATAATTTTATATAGGTTTTAGTGATTTTTTGTTTTTTTTTTTGCAGGAAAGTCTTAAAATTTATACGCTCAAATATGATTTTTCGCGGTTTGTTTTTTGGTTTCTTTTCTAGTTCATTTCATTTATTTTGTTGCAAGGAAGGAAAACTCCACTATCGAACAACGAAAGTGTAAAAGTCACGGAAAATGTGATTGACATCTAGTTTCGAAAGTGGATTTAAACTTAATGGAATAAAAAGTTTACCTAATGATCCAGTTATCTCAAATAGGGTTTTTTATCCAAAAGTTATCAATAATAAAATGATCTTGAAATTCAAAGAGCGTTGTTGCCATTTATTTTTTCTTTGAAATTCGAAATTTGAAGTTTTTCTAAAAGAAGTCAGCCATTTTTTCTATTTCCTTGTGTTCATTACTCTTTCCAATTGTCTGTTAGGTTTTTTATAGCATTCTGGATTTTTTGTAGCAAGGGTTTTTTATAGCATTCCGAAAAGGTTTTCTATAGCACTCCGAAAGATCCTTGTAAAATGTGCAGGCTTTTCTAGCATTCCGAAAGTTCCTTGTAAAAAAAGTGCAGGCATTTTTGTTCCAGTATTTTCAGCTTTTTTGCAGTTTTTAATTTTTTTTGACAAAAAATAACGATTTGTTTGAAAGTTTCAGTTGCTTTTAATCGTAGTCATTCATTTTGTATCGTGAGTTTTGTATCGTGAGTGGGTTGATAGTTTTAAGGCTCAGCTTCGCCTCTGTAGCAAAATATTGTCGACCATATTAGTTTCTTGGAGATGAAAGAGCTTCAAGGTCTAACTGTCCTTTGGCTGTGATCAAAGGAGTGAATATTAGCTCATATTCGCAGAATTTCTTTTTTTTTATCGCTTTAGAGCGCATTTTTTCCTTTGACAAATTCTTGTTCATCGAAATGAAAGGACGGGAAAATCTTCAATTCACAGAAGTGCTGTTTTTCTTAGAAAATTTTCCTGTATGTGATCAATTAGTTATGAGCTTCTAATGGAGCAAAACCTTGATTTAAAAAAAGGTTTTTTTTAATGGATGAGCAATTAAGTAAGAGTCTCATTTTAAAATCTAATATTCAAAGTGAAGAAAATTTGAGGTTTGAACGGCTGGCTGTTGTCAATATAGTAAACGTTTTTAACCGACAATAAATTCAGCTTCGTCTGCTGAAATATTTTCCTTGCTATATTATTGATAGTTTTATTTTTCCGTTCAGATCTGTTTGGAGCTCCTGGAAGTAAATCAAATCAATCGGCAGTCCCTTTAAAAATGGAGTCTGACTTTCCTGGTCAGAATCCTCCGCAGTTTTGCAAACTTGCCGCCGAACGGCAAAGCAACTCTTCTCAATCATCGCCTAACTACCATCAGAACCAGCTATCCCCAATTGAAACTTCGCAATCGCCAACAAACCGCAGTTCAAATCATGCACCAAACTGTATTTCACCTCAAGGTAGTTTTCAAAGTAACTCATCAAGCAACGGATGCACCGATGAGTTACAAGAGCAGTTTGGACCCCCCAGCAAAATTTTAAAATCGAACAGAGCAAAGCAGAGTGACGGAGACAGAGACAGTTCGGGTAGTGAAAGCAATGATCAAATCGAATGTTGGAGTGTGATAGCTCCGAGAAGCGAGTCATCGAGGTCAACGACCTCAGGAAGAATCATTGATCTCCACATAGACCACTATGGAGGAATGTCTTCCAGCCATCATCATATCAGCCAGAGCAGTTACATAAATAACCAACTATTAGTACAGCGTGCGGTAATGAGCTCGTTGGGCCAACACTTTTCGCCAGCTCAATCGCAAAATTTTCCATCCAACGGAACAGGAGCACCTTCAAATTTGGTGCACGGCAGTTTTATTATGAGGTCAAACTCGTCAGGAACTGAAAACAACTCGTGCATCTCGGGAAACTCCTCGGGTTCAGAATCGTCCGATGACCGAAGTATTGAGTTCACGGGGCCGGAGGGCTACATGCGGAACAACCTGATTAACCCTCGTCTACCTTTTTCCACTCACTCGGCCAGTCAAAATAACGTCTCGGAACTGTGGCTAGAACTGCCTAATCTGGAGTTCGTGTGCAAGTATTGCTTCTTATCGCCTTGCTACTGTTTCGGTGAACGCAAGTCTTAGAAAAACTCAAATGAAAACCGCTATTCATAACTTGATCAAATGCAAACACAAACTGAACCGGCCTTTGTACTTAAAGAGAAACAAAGGCGCTAAGTGGTGACAAACTTTTAAATATTTCGATGTTATTAAAGTGCAAAAATTTAAATTAAAAAAATTGCTGCTGACGATAAAATCTTTTCAGATGATTTTACAGATTATAATCTATTGAGTTAATATAATTTGATTCAGTATATAAATTGTAATATATTAGAGATCAATTATCCATGTTGATGTTATAGTTTATGATGTCAGTTTATGATTGTATTCCACCATTTTTCACTAAGGAGGAGGTGATGAATTCTATCACAAAGTTGCAAATAAGCGTTTTCTAAAGTGCGAGCGAAATTCGTCATAGTAGAATTTTTTTAAGGTAAATTGATCTGATTTTTTAAAGAGTTGATGAACGTAGGTTCAGACCTTTCTAGAGGTAGCGATTTTTTTTCCTTTTTTTTCAGGAAAAGTCTTAAAAATATGTTCAGGCTCAAATAACTTTTTCGCGGTTTGACTTTTGATTGCTTTGTAAGTTCAGTTCATTTGCTTTATTAAATGGAAGGCAAACTCCGCTATCGAACAGCGAAAGTGCAAAGGTCAAGAAAAACGTGATTGACTTCTAATTTCGAAAATGCAAGTTAATTATCAGAATTTCCAGCGAATTCAAAGTTCTACCTATTGATCCAGTTTTCTCGAATTGGATTAATTTTATCAGAAAAGTGTCAATCATAATGTGTTCAAGAAATTCAAAGAGTTTTAAGGCCATCTATTTTTGCTAGTTAAATTGAAAATTGAGATTATTTTTCGAAAGAACTAGTCACATTTTTTTGTTTGCTTGCGTTCATTGACTCGTTTCCAATTGTCTGTTGGCTAAGTTTTTTCGTTGAAAAAATTCAATGTAAATTTGTCGCATGTTCTCTTTTAAAAATGTAATGATATTCATCGGATAGAAATTTTCTTCAGGTTTGTATTTATTTTTTAGATTTCTAGGAATTGTAGTTTGGTTTATGAACGAGTTAAAGTTATCCCCAAAACTCTGCCCCAAAACAGTTTAGTTTTGAGGGGAGGAGGAGGGGATGATGTTGTTAATTTGTTTGAAATTTGGAGTTTTCAGCCAATCAGAATCGAGCATTTACTTGCAGTGCTCAACAAATTTAATGATACTTAAATGCTGGGCGGAAGATCTTATTGGTCTATCTCGGGGAGGGGGAAGGGGGGGGGGTGAACCCAACCAAATCAGCGTACCGTACAGACTTCTCATTTGACAGATAGAAAAATAAACCAAGTGATTTTGTTTTTCAACGTATTTTTTTCCAAGGAAAACACGAACTCCTTGCGCTGTTTTCGAGAACGTAAAAACTTTGAAGATTAATCTAATGAGTTATTTGGCCAGCGTTCATAGTTGGCTGGCCAAATAACGCCTCTAATTACTTTTTTGCAAGTTTTCATCCAACCAAGTCCTTTCAAAATAGTTTGATCGGCCTGCTTCAAATTTTTTAATCTCGTGTCATAGGTATTTGTAGAGAAAGCGGCAAAAAAACGTTCATTTTCTCGTGAAAACAAAAAAGTTGCGTTTTTTGGCCCAAACTGTAGTACAAAATCATTGAAAACTATAAAACTAAACAGGAATAAAATAGTAAAACATCTCATCTATCATGTTTCGAGAATCAGCAGAATTGACGGTTTGTGAAATTATGTGGCTTCTTTTTCAAAGCGGAACACATACAATGGGCTAGCATTAAGTTCTTGTGACAGTTTTGCTAATGTCTAGATTCATTGGTAGCTGGACGACCCTAAAGGTGGAAAATTTAGTTTTTGTTTGATAAAGCAAGATAAAGATGTACCCTTTCCATGGTAATTATTAAAACTTGTCTGAATAACTGTTGGCAATTTTGGATTCCGGTTTCTGATCCTATGGTTTGAGCTGTGTCTGCGGTTGATATCGAAGACTAGCATGAATAATTAACTGCGCATTCATTGCAAAAAATTTGAAATTCACAAAGTGGGGCTTTGGTACTTTGCATCTCATTGGTTTAGCATAAGCAATATTTCAATCAGAACTGTGCCGCTTATCATGCTCTCAGTATATTGAAAATAATTTTGTTACAATGATGAATGTATTTTTTATCATCAAAATAGCGTTCAATGCCCGACATAGTATTTGACTGGATCAGTGTTTGTTGATATCGTAGAGAACGCTAATTCTGTAAAATTTAGTTCATATAGGTTCCGTTGATCACATTGAGTCGGTTTAGTTAACATGCATAGCCAAACTCGTAACTAGGTACAATTTAGCCTGAATTGCAGCGTGGGTTTATTCATGTCTGTCGCATTAAGTACTTGACGAAATCTGTTAGGAGCAGGATATGGCTCATGGGCTAGCGTTTTCCAAATAATTAACCCCAGGTTACTTCAGGTAAACTGCTCACGACTCACATTTGATTTTTAGTTCTTGAAACTTTAGTTAGTACCTTCCACAAACACCGCAAAATTCTGATGGATATGAAAATGAAATCGGAAACTTAATTTTGATTGATGTCAAGGTTTTTGCAAAGATTGTTAAGTCTACATTTCCTGCTTCTAGACAATAACACCAGCAACTGATTATTGTTGTTGTGACTATTTTCGAAAAAAGACAGTTTTGTGCTCGGAGTGGTTTTTTTCTCCTGACCAATTTTGACTTTTTAACTAGCCATTTTTGAATCCCATCTGAAAGGTATTGTGGTCCTGAGCTCAAGGTAAACAGATATTTAACCTGTATTCAAATTTTATAGTGTTACGGGGGTTTAAAGATTGCCAAATTGGAACAATTAACTCGCGATATATTTCATGCTGTTAATGAGTAAGCGGCGATTTAGTCAGTCTTGGAAATCGTTCCAAATTGAAATTGAGGCATGCTATCAATTCTAATTTATAAGTTATTATTTGTTAAATTAAGTGTGCGCTCTCGTGGGGCGGGCGGAGATTTTTTCTAAACAAATCAAAATTTAGTTGTTCGTACAATTTTTGAGGAAAATGGAATATTTGTTCTCGGGGCGGTTTTTTTCTCCACAAATGGTGTCTTCCTCGACTTTTTAACTAACAATGTTTGACACATTTTTAAAACCTCAATCGAAATGTATGTTTTTCCTGAGCTCAAACTTAAAAAGATTGTTCACTTATGATCAGTCTTCGTAAAAATATGGAGATTTAAATATAACTACTTTGGTCAAATTGAGACAAGAAACGCGCTGTATATTTCGTGCTATTATTGCGTAAGCGGATATTAATAACTAAATTTCCACTTGATTTAAGATAAACCAACAATAGTATTTACTCGTTTACACCGTTTGAAACAAATAGCAGGAGATTATCAGGTCCTATCAAACACTCAAGAGATTCGTTCAATCATTGTTAACAGATAAAAAATTTTAAACCCTGATTGGATTGCATAAGAAAATGTTTTAATCCTGATAAATTCATTAAAGTGAAAAAAAAAAGAAAAAAAAGAAAAGAAAGAGTAGAAAAACACAAAAAAGATTTAATCCGTCTCAGAAACCAATCCAAATTAAATTGAAGCATGCTTTTTGGTCTACTTAATACTTTCCTAAATGCAAAAGGTATGACGCTGTACTTTACGTAGCAAAAAACAGGTGGGATGATGATTTTCAAAAAAAATCTTGGAAAGTTTTTCATTCTTTTGAAAATAAAAAAAAACATGGAATTTTTTTTTCCGAAATTTAAATCAATTAGTCTCATTTGAACTACTCCATAGAAACTAAATTGCAGTCGGAACATTGATAACTTCGTCTTGATACGAGCTATCTTGTATTATTATATTTTTCTTTTTCTTTTTGAAAATTTCATCGTTTTCTTCAAATTGAAAAATGCTTTTATACGTTGAAGGGCATTCGGAACATTCATTGTTATTGTTAGCCTTAAAAATAACTTGTTTTTTTTTCAGGGCTTTGCAAGATGCTACGATCTAAGTTAAGGTTTAATGTTAAAATCCTCCACCCAGCTAGTTAATATAGATGGAAATTGCTTAGCACTGCGTGTTAAAGTTTTCTTTCTATAGATAAAACAACTGCTTCTCAAATCATCATCTAAGCCAAATGGTCAAATCAGCTCTATCAACTCCCTTCACCCCTTTCTCGCTATTCTACTCCCGCTAGATTACTTAGGATCTCGCAATGTTACTCTTGCAATTTCTCTAAGTTTTCATTACTCTTCCAAATTACTCTTCCAATCCTCTCCTCTTCTCCTCTCTTGTGACTTTACAGACTCGAATCTAACATCTCAGAATTGTTCTGATAGTCGAAGTTTGGGCTCATTTCCTCCTTCACATATTCAATTGGCATCTCCCAGCAGGCTGCTATCAAGACTTGGTCTAATAAGCCATCGACCAATCTCGCATGTCCTGTATCCATCATATCCAACAAATTTCTCCCGCTCATTGCTTGGTCAGACAGTCTGCCAACGTTAGTTCAGTCCCTGTGGTACTGCACATGCAATAACCTTGAGTTGTTATATCTATATGAATATAAAATGCTATTGTAATTTTATTTTGATTTTACCCAGATCAAAAAGACCGATATTTTCATAAAGCACAGTTCAGCGACTCAGGGTGTTGAGGCTAGAGCTAGAACTCAGCTTAGAACAATGTTCATAAAAACAGTTCAACGACATAATTTTCCATTTAAACGTTACATTATTTTATGCTCACGTGCCCAGTCCCTTATAGTACTACATGGCGCAGCTAGCTGGATTTCTAATGCAGGAGAGCCGGACGGCATGGGATACAAATATTCTTCTGGTCGACCGCCAGAAGCCAGAGAGAGAGAGAGAGAGAGAGAGAGAGAGACGGGGAAAATACAGCTGGATTAGCAGGAATGAAGTTTAAAAATATAATGGAATTGAATTAAGATCAGCAAGAAACCGAAAACACAAGGCATGACGATCAAAAGTGGGTCAGAACATTAGTATCAAGAGTCCGTCCTGAGAGCCTGCTCTTGTTGACTCCGAATTTGTTCCATATCTTCTCTCAATCGTTGCTTCTTACGTTCAGCTTCGGGAGTCGTTCATGGCATACTCCTGACCTTGTAGTCATCCGTTTTTCCTTCATGCTTTTCTCATTCTGGCTAGCTTCTTGCTTGTTGCGAAGCATGTATCTAGCAAATTCTCTCGTTCGATATGAACAGCTCGTTCTAGTTCACTCAACCTCACTGAAATCTGTTGCTCTTGCTCAA